TTATTATTATTATTATTATTATTATTATTATTATTATTATTATTATTATTATTATTATTATTATTATTATTATTATTATTATTATTATTATTATTATTATTATTATATACAACTACACATGAAGAGCCCTCAGCCTTCAGTGCAGATGAATTAAGGAGAGATGTGAGTGGAACAACACTGAATACTTTACAATCACACACATTATAGGACAAAATTATCTACTACACATCATAGGATGATAATATCCCAATGCAAAGGCCATGATTTTACCACCCTCATAATTCCAACCAGATATGCTTAAGCATATCAGTCTTCAGAATATTCTAGGTACATTGCAAAGATACTCATGGGAAATTAAAGGCTAATATCCATAGAGACTGTGTTCTGTGCTTCTGTAGAGCAGAAGTAAATAGACTTTATATGATGCAATCTGTTAGATAATCTTTAAATGTTAATGAAAATATTTCTCAAAAGTTCTACCATTTTCCCCTGAACATCATTTTCTATGGTTCTTGAAAACATTGCCTTCATAAATGGATAGAAAGATGGAGTGATAGGTACTGTATTTTAAGAAGACAAGGCATGTAATGAAATAAGAACAAGTCAAGGTAAGTGTGGAGAGATCTTTAGGTTCATGATCTTTAAAATGATGACATGGAACAGAATGTCACTGAAAAAGTAACTGTGCATAGACATACATCCAGAGGAGCATCTTGGCTTTTATATTTCTAGAGCCCTTTATTTACTTTCATATTTCTATCACATCCCATGTTTTGTTTTTCAATATTTTACTCCTCTTTTCTTTAGATAATTAACAATGTAAAGAAAGTTCCTGCACAAGTGTATGGAACTCTGTGACCCAAGAATTTCCAAGTTCTAATTTGTATCAAAATATTAGAACTGCAGGCTATATCATTATATTTTTAAGATTACCCAAATGATAAATTTTCAATAGTGACAAATTTCACAGATGACATTATTTTCAAATAGTATTCCTTTGGTTATGGCCTCATGTATTTTGGGATTTCAGTTATGGGCCTTTAAATAAATAAATATGTTTATTTAATTGCAGCTACTATATAATAGTTATACATAACCTTTGTTTCTTTGATGTGAAAATTAACTCTTGTGGTCTCCCTGTTGAGCTCATAATACTAATTTCTGAAAAAGGACTTTACAAATTTGTCTAAATCTTGAGTCAATGAAGATTCCATATTTTCTCTTTTTGTAACAGAAGGGGAAGATGAATTTGACCAACTGCACAAGAACAACTGAATTTATTCTTGTTGGGTTGCCACATGTTTGGGGAATGGAAAGGATGATGTATGCAAGTGTCTTTCTGCTCTACATCCTGTGTCTATTGGGCAATGGGCTCATCATTATGATGGTAATTCTCGACCACCATCTGCAGAAACCCATGTATTTCTTCCTTAGCAACCTTTCTTTCAAAGACATTGGACACACTACCACCTTTATGCCTAAACTGTTGTTCAATTATCTTTCTGCTAATAACTCCATCTGTTTTTATTGCTGTTTAATACAATTTTGCTTCTATTTCCTTTTTGGAGTCACTGAATTTTTCATTATCACATTGATATCCTTGGATAGATATTTAGCCATTTGCCATCCATTGAGACACTCCACTATCATGACTTCGGGGATCTGCCTTAAACTGTCAATATCAGCCTGGTTTGGTGGATTTTTCTCCATAATTTGTCAGGTAGTGATGACTGCAAACTTGCCCTACTGCTCTTCCAACATTATCAATCATTTCTTTTGTGACGTTGGACCTGTGTTGAAGATTGCAGGAGGAGATTCACATCTTATTGAAGTCCTTGTCTTCCTTCTTGTTGTGGTCTTGATTATGTCCTCCCTGCTTTTTACCCTCATTTCTTACTTCTTTATCCTCTGCACTATTCTCCAAATGCCTTCAACCTCAAGGCAGCAGAAGGCCTTTTCTACATGTGCTTCACATCTGGTTGTGGTCAGCATTCTGTATGGATCAGTCTTTTTCGTCTACTTAAGACCTACTGTTAAAAACTCTTCCTTCAGTAAGATGAAGTCTGTCTCCATATTGTATACTATGATCACCCCCGTGCTCAATTCTTTCATCTACACTATTAGGAACAATGAAGTACAGGATTCTGTACGCAGAATGCTAAGAAGAAAAGTTCCAGGTTTCTGAAGTATCTCCAAGCCATCCCTATGTCAAAAGAAATGGAAAGTCATTCCATTTGCAAACAGAAAATGAAATGTAAGGTAATTTGTCTTTTGAAGAACTCCTGTATATGTGTGTTTCTCCTGGATGGGGTGTGCCAGAAATAGCAATAGCAATAGGACTTAGACTTATATACTGCTTCACAGTGCTTTACAGACCTCTCTAAGCAGTTTACAGAGTCAGCATATTGCTCCCAACAATCTGGGTCCTCATTTTACCGATCTCAGAAGGATGGAAGGCTGAGTCAACCTTGAGCCGATGAGAATCAAACTGCCAAACTGCTGGCAGCTGGCAATCAGCAGAAGCAACCTGCAGTACTGCATTCGAACCACTGCCTCACCATCAATCAAGATTGTTGAGATATGTCAGACTTGCCTGAATTAACAAAAAGGGAAGCAGTGAATAACATTCAGATGGAGGGCAATCTGTTCTTTTCTTTTTGATAGATGCTTTTTTCAGAAGCATCTGAAATTATTGTATAAAGTACAATAAGGTATCCATGATCAATTGAGTTTCAAATGAAGAAATAAAGGTGAGACTCTTTTAAGTGTCCAAGCTGGGATCCAATGGTTCGATAATCCTGATGTTCATACAATAGATATGCACCTTTGTAAAACACTTGTTGAAATTTTCTTGTTTTTAATAGGGGCAATGAGGAATGAATAGGTAAGTTTTGATAAACATATTGCTTGAAAAAGAGGTGCGGTGGTTCAGTGGCTTAATCGTCTCTGCTTCGGTGGTTTGAGCCCTAGCACTGCATGGTGGGGTGAACTCCTATCATTTGCCTCAGCTTCTGTCACTTAGCAATTCGAAAGCATGTTCTATGAGAGCAGATAAATGGGTACTACTTCAGTGGGGAGATGAGCCGGTGCTTCATGCAGGCAGTTGGAATTCTAGCTAGCTCTGAACCTTCCTGGTTGTGAGGCCTGTTTGTGAGGCAGCTCTGGTGCAGAGAGAGGGCCTTGGGTGATGCTGCAGGAAAAGTCGCTCCTCTTTCTTTTTGGTGCAATATTAGCTCACCTTCCTTGGAAAGTGTGCAAGCATGTACAATGAGAGCGCTAGTAAACTGGCAGCCAAACAACTACTTTGCAATAGCATTGTAGTCTCCTGGCTACTGTAATAGCGTCATACTCTAATAATAACAATGTTCATAAACATTCAGATGGAGGCCAAATTGGTTTCTTCTCCATCTCTAGGTAATCAAGGATAAGATTTGGTGGGGGGTATTACATCCCAGTTGGATCATTAAGGTTATCACAATGAATTGAGTTTATATTGTAATGTGTTTCAAATAAAGTTTGTTTTCTAGCTCTTTTCTTTGAATTGCAATACTTGGAAATTTTATACCCTAAAACAGTGTGGTACATTGGTCGACATATTGGGCTAGGAAAGGAGGGGCATGGGTTCAAGTCTCTCTTAGTCCTGGAAGCTCACAGGTGACCTTGGGTCAGTCCCATCCCATACAGAGAGCACTTCTTCTGGGGAAATATTGGAGGGTTATCTATCTGACAAGAAGAAAATGACTCTCGGGGATGAAGGGGTAGAATTATATAAAATTTGGTGTATTTATAAATATAACGTAAATGTTTGTCTTTAAGAAGAGGAGATGATTGGCTAGTATCCCTAAACTGCATCCGAGGTGGTGGAAAAGAAGGTGATGGGATGTGTAGGATAGTTGGAAAGGAGGAAAGAGGAGAGGTCGTGGTTAAGAGGGGGAGGAAGGAAGAGGGAAGTAGGTAGGAAGGTTGAGGGCGTGTGGATGCAGGGGGGGGGGACCGCTGGTTATTTCTGAATACTTACTGAGTAGGCTTTTTTATGTGTTTGTTTTTCTAATGAAATGCACCATATTTGTATTATTTGTCCATATGTTTATTTGAAAAATTAATAAAATTTGTAAAATCAAGAAGAAAATGACTCTCAACATATTTGTCCTTGTTCCCTGAGGAGTATCATTTACACATAGGCGAGCATGTCTACAGAGCTTTCCAAATGTTATAAATGCATGAACTTCTTTCTATGAGGAGAACAATTGGGACCCAGAAGATAGTAGGAGTGAGGAAGGAAAAAAAAAGTCCTGCAGCAGAGTCAAAGTGTGAATCTTGAATCCTAAAAATGATCCTTGGATGGTGTAACATTTTCATTTCTAAGTATGCTTACATTTTATTGACAATCTGAACTGGCTTACTTGGCCTATCCTAGATCTGACATTTTATGACCTCTACTCTTAGGCACTATTCTACTGCCACACGGAATTATATCATCATAAAATCCCAGAATTGGAAGGAGACAATTGGTTCATTTCATTCCACCTCCTATCCCATTTTGGTACAAAAAATCCAAACTTAAGTATCTCATATTTCTATGAGATATTTCTGTATTCTGGGCATAATCTATGGCAGGGCTTTTCAACCAGTGGTACAGGTACCACCTGTGGTACATTGGCACCTGGCAGGTGGTACGCGACCATCCTAGAAAAGTGGTAGCAGGGGAGGGGAATGAGCTGAACCGGTGGCAGCACCGCACAAGCCTGAGCGAGAGATGGTTGGAGCTGCAAAGCTGTCAGGGCTCAGTGGAAGTGCCAGAATCAGTGCCAGGCTCCAGCTGGAGCTCGGCGCTGATCCTGGCACTTCCATTGAGCCCAGAAGAAGCACCGATCAGCTGGAATGTTGCAGCCTCTCCAGGGTCTTGTGATTTACATTCAGATGCTTGGCAACTGATTCATATTTATGATGGTCACAGTCAGGGCTTTTTTTCTCGGAGAAAAGGTGGCGGAACTCAAACCTGGCCACGCCCTCATCAAACCCTAGGACCGCCCCTTTAGAGAACAGGAATGCAAGTAAAATTTGGGAGGGGCTATTTCCGGTGTGGGAGGGGCTATTTCCGATGCGGCCGGCCCGGAAAAAGGTGCCGGAACGCGGTTCCGCCGCGTTCCGGCTGAAAAAAAGCCCTGGTCACAGTGTCCCAGGGTCATGTGAAGTAACCAAAATCTGCTGCAACCACCCAGCAGATGGGGGGAATAAAAACCAAACATCCCCCCAACCCCATTCCCACTGCCAATCCTCAACAGAAATGCTCACAACAATGAAAACCTCGGACAGGAGGAAGAATGCAGCCGGGTGGGCAGGCAGGTGTCTTGCTTGGCTGTGGCTTGGGGGGGGGGGCACTTTTTCAGTGCTATTGTAACTTTGAACAGTCACTAAGCGAACTGTTGTAAGTCGAGGACTACCTGTACTTTATTACTTTTTTCCTTTTTGGGGGGGGGGTCATCAAGTTTTTGACACCTTGCTAGGCAACTGGTGGTACTCAGATATTGCCATATCCTAAAAGTGGTACAATGGGTGAAAAGGTTGGAAAGCCCTGATCTATGGATATTTATGTGAATTGAGAGACAATTCATATCTCTAGAAATGGTACCTCAAACTTCTGTAGAAACTGGAGCACTACATTATTAAAGGTTTTACACTTTCAATTTCTGCAGTTGAAGAGGAATAGGAACTAGGCCAACCATAAAAGAGTTTCATAGTTTATCCTTGTTGATTTGCCTCCAGAGGACCTCCAGAGGACTCCTATCTTGGGATGCACTTTAAGTTTTATCCAAAAGTTATCAGCCTCAAGTATATTCTAGCTATAGTGTTCAAATGCTCATGGGAAATTAAAGGCAAATATCCTTGGAGACTGTATTCCAAGCTACTGTAAAGAAGAAGAAAATAAACTTTTTATGATGCGATCTTCTAGATGTTCTTTAAATGTTAAGGGGAATATTTTTCATGAAGTCTACCATTTCCCCTGGTCCCAAGATATGATGAATTATTTTCTATGTTTCTTCAAAATACTGTCTTGATGAATGGATACTGAGGTGGAGTGAAATGTATTTGATGAAAAGAAGGTGGTAATGAAGGAAGAGCAAGTCAAGGTAAGGATGAAGAGCTCTTTAGGTCCATCTTTTTTAGAATGAACACTTGGAACAGAATTCCCAAGATAGCATAGTTGCTCATAATTATGAGGACACCAAAATCATGCCATGTGCATTAGGAACTGCAAAAAAACCCCCATGATTTCCTAGCATATATTCAAATCCACCTCCACACAGAGAGAGCATCATCATGGCTATTGTATTTTTTGAGCCCTTTATAAATTTTATATTTCTATCACAACCTATGTTTTATTTTTCAGTATTTTACTAGACTTTCCTTAGATAACTAATAATGTAAAGACAGTTCCTGCACAGAAGTATGGGACTTTTTAATTCCATAAGAGCAAAGTTTCCAATTTCTAATTTGTAGGGTCTTTGGTTCTCTCAGAGCTTGGTAATGTTTTTCCAGATGTTTATTTACCAAACTAACATCATAAGTGCACTGATGATGTTATCCAATTTAGTAACGAAACATCTGAAAGAAAATCTCCCTGCTCAGAAAATAGCAAGGACCCCACAGTTCAGCCCTGAGCTACATATATTCTCTTCTATCAAGTTCTATTTTTATCAAATTATTTCACATGTACTCTCTATCTTCCAAAAATGTCATTATATTTTTTAAGAATTTAAAAATTTCACACATGAAACTAATGGCTAATAGTGGTTACTAATGGTTACTAATAGTGGTTTTTTTTTTCATTGTGCATTCATGAGAGTCCAGTGATGGACCTTGAGATATCATAACTGATATTCAAATATGTACATGCAAGTGTCTTATTCAGCGAGCATAATTCCACATAACCTTTGTTATCTTGATATAAATATCAAGTCTTGTATCACAATATCAGTTTATGGAAAAGATCTTGAGAAACGTAGCTGAATCTTGATTCAGTGAAGATTCCATGTTTTCTCTTTTTGTAGCAGGAGAAGAACATGAATTTGACCAACTGCACAAAAATAACTGAATTTATTCTTGTTGGATTGCCACGTGTTTGGGGAATGGAAAATGTGATGTATGCCAGCATCTTTCTGCTCTACATCCTAAGTTTGATGGGCAATGGGCTCATCATTACGATAGTAATCAAGGATCATCGTCTTCAGAAACCCATGTATTTCTTCCTTAGCAACCTTTCTTTCAAAGACATTGGACACACCACAACCTTTATACCTAAACTGTTGCTCAATTATCTCTCTGCTAACAATTCCATCTGTTTCTTTTGCTGTATAATACAGATGTATTTCTATTTTCTTTTTGGGGTCACTGAATTTTTTATCATCACTTTGATATCCTTGGATAGATACTTAGCCATTTGCTATCCTTTCAGATACACCATTATCATGACTTCAGGGGTTTGCCTTAAATTGGCAATAGGAGCCTGGTGTGGAGGTTTTTTCTCCATTTTTTATCAGCAACTAATCACAGTAAACCTACCCTTTTGTACTTCCAACATTATTAATCATTTCTATTGTGATGTTGGACCTGTGTTGAGGATTGCAGGGGGAGATACACATCTCATTGAAGCCCTTGGCTTCCTTGTTGCTGTGGTTGTGGTTGTGTCTTCCCTGGTTTTCACCCTCGTTTCTTACCTCTTCATCATCTGGACCATTCTTCGAATGCCTTCAACCTCCAGACAGCAAAGGGCCTTCTCAACATGTGCTTCACATCTGGTTGTGGTCAGCCTGTTGTACGGGTCAGTCTTTTTTGTCTATTTAAGACCGACTATCAAGAACTCTTCCTTTAGCATGACAAAATATGTCTCCATACTGTATACTTTCATCACCCCTGTGCTCAATCCTTTCATCTACACCATTAGGAACAATGATGTGAAAGATTCTGTACACAGAATAATTGGGAGAAAGATTACTGGTCTCAGACATGTCTAAGTATCTTCAACCCTAACCAGTGATGGGATTCAGCCTGTTCGCACCAGTTTGGCAGAAGTGGTAGCTATTTGTTTTGTTTCCCAGGCCCAGAATGGTCTTCCAGAAGTGGCATCCAGACAGAGAACCAGTTGTTCACATATTTGAATCCCACCACTGACCCTAACCATATATTAAAGTAAATGGGAAGTGATTCTATTTTCCAAGATATTTCTTCTACATCAAATGTCAACCTAATCTGTCTTTTAAGGACTGCTCTACTGTATATGTGTGTTCCTTCAAGCTGGGGAGTGTTCAAAGACATCATCAAAGATTCATAGGATATTTCACATTGCATACCATAACAAAGAGGTAAAACTGGGTAACATTCAAGTGGAAGGCAACATGTTTTTTTCCCCTCTTTGTTGAGAAGCATCTCTGTGTACTGTATAAAATAAAATTAGGTACCTGTCAAGCCTCGAAGAATACTTATGCTGTTTCAGCCATTATTGCTTCTTAGCTTGCCTATGAACTCGGGGGAGGGGATAATGGAATGTAGACTTCTGATATTGAGAGGCCAGTCCATGAGAACCAATGACGTTCAAGATCGTTTATTGAGAACGAAAGACATTCTCTCATAATAGTTATTTGAATTATAATTGGATAATGTGCCTTGCACAAATAGGGGAGATAGACTTTTATACCTTTAATATAGCAAACTAGGTGCAAAATAACTAGAGCTGGTTTTCCTTTCACCTGTGCTAAAATGATGTGCTCAATAAAGTTTTGCATTAGAGATCGGATCATCTCAGCTGTGCGATATCTTGTTTTCTGTATTGGAGAACAGCTTTTCAAATAATGAAGTAAAACTTTTCCTAAAGGTATCCTTTGTGCATTTGTTTGATATATAATTTGTTTAATTATGTTGTCAAAAATTATATATATTAGATATATTTTATTTTTAATTCATTTTTTATTTATATAATAGATATATACTTTTATAAAACACTTGTTGAAAATTCCTTGCTTTTAATATGGGCAATGAGGGATGAATAGGAAACTTGTTAAACCTCTTGGTTGAAAGATAAAACATTATGTATGTAACCACTCAAATGGAGGCCAAATTTGTTTCTTCTCTATCTCTAGGCAATCCAGGATAAAGATTCAGGGTGGGTAGGTGATTCCATACCAGTTGGATCATTACAGCTACTATAATGAGTTGACTTTGAATCAAGATCTGTTTCCAATAAAGTTTGTTTTCTAAGCATTTTCCTTCACTTGAAATACTTGGAAGTTCTGTACCCTAAAGCAGTGTGGTACATTGGTTGCCATATTGGACCAGGAAATAAGAGACATGGGTCCAAGTTGGTCTTAGTCCTGGAAACTCACAGGTGACCATGAGTCAGTCATATCCTATACAGAGAGCACTGCTTCTGGTGAAATATAGGAGGCATATCACTCTGATAGGAAGAAATAACAGATGATAAGGGGTCTGAAATCTAAATTATATGATGAATGGTTAAGGGAACTAGGTACATCTAGCCTAATGAAGACAAGTTTTAGGGTAACATGATAACTCTTTTCCAGTACTTGAATGGCTCACACAGAGAAGAGGGGGTTGACCTATTCTTCAAAGCACTTGAACATAGCACAAGAAGCAATAGGTGGAACGTAATCAAAGAGAAGTCCAACCTGGAACTAAGGAGAAATTTCTGGACAGTGTGAAAGATTAATCAATGGAACACCTTCCCTTCCAGAGTTTGGGGTGTTCCACCACTGGAGTCCCAAAGGTGCTTTTTCAAGAGGCAACTGGACTTTCTTGTTTTTCATTGAAGATTTTTCACTTCTCATCCAAGAAGTTCTTCAGCTCTGACTGGATAATGGGGAATGGAAGGCACAATTAATGCAACACAACAACACAAATGACAAAAAGGCAAGTTTTCTGCCCTATAGCTTAGACAGACTTCCATTTCCCACTATCCAGACAGAGATGAAGAAGCTTCTTGGATGAGAAGCGAAACATTTTCAAAGAAAAACAAGAAAGTCCAGTTGCCTCCTGAAAAAGCACCCTTGAGAATCTCCCTAGACATCCATCACTGGGGGTTTTCAAGAAAACATTGGACAACAATTTGTCCAGATGGTATAAGGTCTCCTGCCTTGGGGAGGGAGTTGGACTAGAAGATCTTTCGAACCATATGATTATATTTGTCTATGAGATGATGGGGATTAGGGGTACAATACTGAATTCATCATTATCTCATACATCTTATGACACAATTATGTAGTGCACATCATTGGATGATGATATCATAAGGCACAGGGCATGATGACCAACTTTACTGCCTAGGGAATTCTGGGAGTTGAGGTCCACATATCATAACATTGCCATGTTTGGAAAACACTAATCTGTAAAGCTTCTGATTACCTAAATGTTCCTGCCACTGCCCCACCAAAAGTGAAGGGGATATCAAATCTGCAGATCCAGAACACTATGCTGAAAATCTTAACTTTGAATTCCATGGAAAAATGAATGGGAGAAAAAGGGAAATGGGGAAAAATCATCATTGGATATCATCTCCAATCTGTTCCTTCACTGTTTCATAGTGTCTTCAAAGAGTCTTGGAAGACTTAATAATATATACAAGACTCTATATCTGGGAATGGCCCTTAGAATTTGGTCCAGATAAAACCAGATGTGATTCATGTTGATTCCAATTTATCTGTTCTGGGCATAGTCTATGTATATATAAGATTACTGGCAGTGGTGGGATTCAAATACCTGAATAACCGGTTCTCTGTGTGAGTGCCACTTCGGGAAGTCTGTTCCGAGCCAGGGAGGACTCCCAGGAGCAGAATGGCCCACCGGAAGTGCATGGATGCATTTCAAGTGGACTGTTCTGCTCCTGGGAGTCCTCCCCAACTCAGAAAAGACTTCCGGAAGTGCTGTCCATGCAGTTCCAGGGGGCCGTTCCGGGCCTGGGAGGCCTTCCCTGGCTCAGAACAGACTTCCAGAAGTGGTGTTCACACACTTCCGGTGGGCCATTCTGGGCCTGGGAGGCCTCCCCATCTCAGAATGGACTTCCGGAAGTGGCATCCATGCATTTCCGGTGGTCTGTTCTGGGACTTGCAAAAAAGGGCTAGGGCAGTGATGGCAAACCTTTTAGAGACCAAGTGCCCCAAAACCGCCCCACCCGCCCCAGCCTGCTCTACCCTTGCCCCGCCCACTCTGCCCCCACTCAGCCCATCCCTCACCTGCCCGCAGGGCCACCCACCGCCTCCACGGCCTGCTGCAAATCATCCAGGTGGCCCAGCAGTGCCATGGCAGCCACGCCCTCTGCCCGCACCCTGCAGCATCAACTGTATGCGACAGGGCATGAGGATGGAGTCTTGTCCTGGCTGCCATGTCCTTGGCTGCACTACTCTGCATGGGTTGTGCTCGGGGGCGACTCTTCTACAGGGGGTTGCTAGTGAGGAGGAGGCCGCGGTGGGAGGTGGGCTGGAGTGATGGCACGTGTGCCCACAGAGAGGGCTCTGAGTGCTGCCTCTGGCACACATGCCATAGGTTCGCCACCACTGGGCTAGGGCATCAGCCAGTTCACCAAAGTCAACAAAAAATTAGCTACCGGTTCTATAGAACTGATGTGGACCGGCTGAATCTCACCACTGCTTATGGGAACTAACAGATATTTCTAGAAATGATATCTGAACCTTCTGTAGAAAATGAAGCATTGCATCAGTGAAGGTTTTACTTTTTTGCTTTCTGCAGTTGAAGAAAAATAGGAATTATGCTGACTATAAAATAAATTAGGAGTTTGTGTTGGTTAGTGTGCCTCCTGTCTTGGGGTGGCATTTGAAGATTCACCCAAAGCATATCACCCTTGAGTATATTCTAGTTATAGAGCATGGATTCTCATGGGAAATTAAAGTAGATATCCTTAGAGATTGTATTCCAAGCTTCTGTAGAGAATCAGTAATTAAACTTTATGTGATGCAATCTGCTAGATGCTGATGAAATATGAAAGCAAATATTTCTCAAGAAGTTGTGACATTCCCTTGATGGTCATTTTGAAATCATAACTGGTATTCAAATGTGAGTTCAATCCTAGGTAGTGGCAGATATTTCTCTGATAGGACCTTGGTGCTCTCTGAGCTTGCTTGTTTTCTTGCAGACTTTTCATTACCCTAACGAGGTAACATCATCAGTGCTAGTAAGGAGTGCTGTTTGCTGGTGGGTGTATATTCTGGTGTCTTGCCTGTCTATGTGGGTGGGGACGGTCTTAGGAATTCTTTAGTTGGGTTGTTTACTAATGGCTCTTTGGCCATTTTAATTGGGTTATTGTTTACTTGATTGTCGGTCTGAAGGTGACCTTGGAGTTAATCTATGCTGATCTGAGTGCTGATTACAGATGGGGAGGTGCTGGAGTCTTTTTTTCTCTTTGGGGCTGGTTGATTGTCTCTTTTGCATAGTCTATAGATGTTGTTGACATGTATGTATCTACTGGTGGCTGATTTGTCAGAGTGTTAGGCTTCTAGAAATTCCCTAGCATTTTTGGATTTGGCCTGGTCTAGGATTATCACATTTTCCCAATTGAAACTATGGTTAAATCTGCTTATATGTTGTGAAACTAAAGAATTTTCATCATGCCTTTTGACTGCCAGTTGATGTTCATGGATGCGTTCTGCCAGTCTTCTGCCTGTTTGTCCTACATAGTGGTTGTCGCAGTTCTTACATTGTATGTTGTAGATGACTCCTGTTGCTGGGTCTTTTGGTTTACTTAGGATATTTTGAAGGGCTTTAGTTGTCTTATGTGCTGTGCGGATTCCATGTGGTTGTAGTCATCTATTTGCAGTTTCTGGGATATTTTTGATGTATGGCAGTGTAATTCTTTTCAGGGTTTGTGTTGGTTATGCTCTATTGGGTTGAGTGGTTAGGTACTTTTTGATGAAGTTGTGTGGGTATCCATTTTGTTGGATACCCACACATTTTGTTCCCTTTTCTGCTGTTCTGGGTTGCTGCAATCTGTTTCCCCTTTTTTCCTTTTCTCTCTCTCTCTGGGCACAATGAGTTATTGTCTGCTATGAATTCCACAGAGGCATCAGGAAGGGCCTCCATCCAGTAAACATTTAAGCTCTGTTCAGTCACCCCAACTCTACCCCGATGCAAAAGATTACAGGGTTGTTAAAATAACAAAAATCCAAATGTGTATATTGAATGTCTTATTCAGCTACTATATCTACAGACAACTTTTGTTAGTTTGATTTTAAAATCAAGTCTTCTGTTCTGTCTCTTGCAATAGTTGTTTCTGAAAAAGGTCTTCAGAAATCTTGACCGCACGAAGATTCCACACAGGGTGAAGATGAATTTGACCAATTGCACAAGAGCCACTGAATTTATTCTTGTTGGATTGCCAAGTGTTTTGGGACTGGAAAGTGTGATGTATGCCAGCATCTTTCTGCTCTACATCCTGAGTGTGATGGGCAATGGGCTCATCGTTATGATAGTAATCACAGATCACCATCTCCAAAAACCCATGTATTTCTTCCTTAGCAACCTTTCTATCAAAGACATTGGATACACCACAGTCTTTATACCCAAACTGTTGCTTAATTATCTCTCAGCTAATAATTCCATCTGTTTTTCTTGCTGTGTAATACAACTGTGCTTCTATTTCCTTTTTGGAGTCACTGAATTTTTTATCATCACTTTGATATCCTTGGATCGATATGTAGCCATTTGCTATCCTTTGAGATACACCATCATCATGACCTCTAGAGTTTGCCTTAAACTGTCAATATCAGCCTGGTTTGGAGGATTTTTCTCCATAATTTGCCAGGTAGTGATGATTGCAAACTTGCCCTACTGCACTTCCAACATTATCAATCACTTCTATTGTGATGTTGGACCCGTGCTGAAGATTGCCGGAGGAGACACACGTCTCATTGAAGCCCTTGGCTTCCTTGTTGCTGTGGCTGTGATTGCGTCCTCCCTGGTTTTTACCCTCATTTCTTATCTCTTCATCCTGTACACTGTTCTTCGACTGCCTTCAACCTCCAGGCAGCAGAGGGCCTTTTCAACATGTGCTTCACATTTGGTTGTGGTCAGCCTTTTGTATGGGTCAGTCTTTTTTGTCTACTTAAGACCGACTGTCAAAAAATCTTCCTTTGGTGTGATGAAGTCTATTGCCGTACTGTACACTTTCATCACCCCTGTGCTCAATCCTTTCATCTACAGCATTAGGAACAATGAAGTGAAAGATTCTGTATCGAAAATGGTAGAAAAAATGGTTGCAGGTCTCCGAAATCTCTAATTATTGCCAACCCTAACCCTCATTTAAAAGAAGTGGGAGGGATCCCATTTTTGCAATAGATTTCTTGTATATGAAATATAAACTTTCTCTGCCTTTTGAAGGACTCTTCCATGTGTGTTTTCCTTCAGGTTGGGGACTGCCAAAGATATCAGTGAAGATTGTTGAGTTATTTCACATTGCCTACTTTAGCAAAGAAGGAAAAGAGAGTAACGTTCAAGTGGAAAGCAACATTTTTTTTTCAGTTTGATGAAAACTTCGTTGAGAAGCATCTGCAAATACTCTATAAGATAAAATTAGTTACTTGTGATCAGTTGAGTTTCAGAGCAGGACATAAAACTGAGGCTGTATCAAAGATGTTTGTCAGTGTTAAAGTTGGGAAGGCATGGTGCAAGCATCCTTGACCTTCTTAGTCAACTTTCAGTATTGTTAATCTTGGTATCCATCTGGACTGTCTAAAGGCATTAGAGCAGTGGTTCTCAACCTATGGGTTGGGACCCCATTTGGGGTCAATCAACCATTTCATGGGGGTCACCAAGCAAGGCTGTCTGCCATTTTTTTTGTCCGCCATTTTTCCCCCTTTTCCGGCGGGTGCCTTACCTCCCTTGGGCTGGGCCAGCTGGTGGTCGGCCTGCTCCATCTCTGCCGCTTGCCAGCTATGCCTCGGCCGGCGCAGGGGGCGGAACCATGCATGTGCGGCGCTCCCGGGCAGGGAAAGTCCTCGACTTACGACCAGTTGGGTAGTCCTCGACTTATGACCTGTTTAGTCCTCGACTTACGACCGGTTGGGGTCACGGCATTAAAAAGGTTGAGAACCACTGCATTAGAGCGTACGGATTGGGCATGCTGTTTCACATATACCTCTCCTTTTTATATGGATAGTTTCAGTTGGTGCTTAACATCTACAAGAGGCAATTGAGTGAGATCATCTTTCGGCATATAATTATGTGCCTTGGTGTATAGTCTTTTAGTCACAGAAATGTCTTTGGACAATGCTGTCTCCCTTGACTAAGAATCAGAGATGAGCACTGCCCTCTAGAATCGGACATGACTGAACAGGGGAAACCTTTTCCTTTATTTCTCAGTTTGCTTGAAAAATGAATTCCAAAACAATTGTTTTTTTTAACAATAAAGTGATTGCTGTCCAGCCCCCTGCCCCCAGCTGTACGGCTCATAAGCTATTCTGAAGCACAACTCTTGAAGTTACTTGCAGACCACTGCTGAATGGGGCATCTTCTGGGATGATTTAGGACTCTCCCTAACCCAGGAGAGTCATATAAACTAAAGGAATGCCAGCTCTTTTTGTTGGTAAGTTGAAAAATCAACAATTTAGAGAAAACCCCTTCAGAAGACCCCTCCCTGGGCTTGTCATCACTTGCCCATCTTCACCGGAAGTCTAAATGGGGAGGAACAGACTGAGGTTCAATCTTAGAAACACCTCCTTTCCTGGAGATATTTGGACTCTATTGGCCCCCGATATTTTGTTAGTCCCAAATAGGGTTGTGTTTCCACGTTTTGGACTGATGAACAATTTATATTTGCTATTTTGTTTTAAAATATTTTCAGTATTGTGTATTTCTAAGAGTTATTAAGGAGTTGGGTAACCTTAGTAATGTAATGTAACGTCACATAATAAAATAAATAAATAAATAAATAAATATTGTCTCACTCTCTCTCCAATATATGCTATGTTCATTGGCACCATTGTACTCTTTTTCTAAATCATTTGCCCAGAGTAATGTATCATTAAACACTGTCTTTGAGAAATATCTATTTCTAGAGCCATTTTCTGAAGGTTTCTTCCTTTTACAGTGGACCAATGGAAGGTGAAGTGAAGAGAATTTAATACATTGGTTTGAAATTCCAAAAGTCAAATGGAAGGATGTTCCATTCCATTCCAGTCACATGGAAGGATATTCCATTCAGACTGTATATACTCTGCCTATTTCTTCCTGAAATCTATGTGTTTGGGCAACAAAACTAGGATATCCATGTCCAGGCTAAAGATCCACATTTGGATCTTTAGTGATTTCTCAAAAAAGGGATCATCATTTTCAGGTCATGTGTATTAAATTTGTGCTTTCTTATAAGATCTATTTTTTCATGATTTTTAAAAAAAGTTTGCTTCTCATTTTTTTGATATTGTATATTCCACACAGTATAATATAGTGATTCAGGTGTTGAATTTGGAATGGGATCCCAGATTCATAGCCAAAACTTATTGGTGGCACTCTTTAAGATGCATTTAGGCCAAAAACCCACTCAGTCCAACATCCTTCACTAAAGTGCTATTGTGGGAAAAATAGAGACAGTTGAGAAAATCCAGGATAGAAATTGAACAAACCATGATAATGATGATGATAACCTTTATTGTCATTTTTTACTGTGGGCACAATGGCACACATTAAAAATGAAATTTAGTTGTTTGCTCTCAAAGTGTACACATACATAACACACATTTAAACATACTATATACAACATATGTGTAGACCTACAGCCCTACATATAAGGAACATATAAATATTAATCACTGTCTTGAATATATAATGGAAGAAGGAAGTTTGAGAGTTCACAAGATTAATACTGTATGGAACAAAACTGTGACTGAATCTGGATGTTCTGCTTCAGATACCACGAAGCCTCCTCCTCCCAGAAGGTAACAAGGAAAACAGGTCATGAAGAGGATGTGTAACATCCCAGACAATCTTGTGGACCCTGCTCAAGCAACGCTTATGTGCCATGTCCTGGATGGAAGAGAGGGAACTGCCAATGATATTTTCAGCCATCCTCACCAGTCTCTGCACCGCCTTCCTGTCTGAAGCAGTGATGCTTCCAGTGTGATGCCGTGTGACAGGATGCTCTCGATTGTCCCTCAATAGACAAAAATGTCAAATCCAGTCTGAACATCTGGCTGACTGTGCGATGATTAATAATAATAATAATAATAATAATAATAATAATAATAATAATAATAATAGCAGCATTTGAAAAACATTGAAGGAAAATGTGATAACAACTTGACATGGGCATGGCTTAAGATGGGAACCATTAAGAAAGAAACGAGTGAGCGGAGAGGCTATTTCTAGAATAAGAAATATTTCTCTGAGGGCTTAATGAGAATTTTTGTATTCTGCTAGGCAGCAAGAAACATTGCATGCCTTAACAAGACATGTTGGTGGTTCTGTAAAGTACAGGGAGGACCTCTTGTGGTTGAAAGAAGTAAAAAAAGGCAATGTAAATAAATGAACTTAATAAAATGCCATCTCTGAACATGGACTTTCTATTGATAGATCACATGGTCAACGTGTCCGGTGCAATAATGTTTTTTTTTTTTTAAGGGAATCGTCACTTGTGCAAATTCTATGTTGTTTGGACTCAATGAAGGAACTAAAACCAGGAATTATTTAATATAAGTAGAGAAATCTGACATACTGCAGTTAAACCTTGGACTTCTTAAGTATGGATTTTTATGGCATTTTGAAAAATGACAGAACATTAACCCATCCTGTTTCCTTGTTCCTACACATTTTGCTTCCTCTCTTAAGATAAATAATTGCAGTAAGTAAAACAAAAGCAGTTGAGATTGACAGAAAGGAAAACCAGAAAGAAAGAAAGAAAGAAAGAAAGAAAGAAAGAAAGAAAGAAAGAAAGAAAGAAAGAAAGAAAGAGGAAGGAAGGAAGGAAGGAAGGAAGGAAGGAAGGAAGGAAGGAAGGAAGGAAAGAAGGAAGGAAGGAAGGAAGGAAGAAAGGAAGGAAGGAAGGAAGGAAGGAAGGAAGGAAGGAAGGGAGGGAGGGAGGGAGGGAGGGAGAGGGAGAGACAGTTTTAGGTGTTCTGTTGTCTTCCAAAACACTCCAAGAATTATAGTTCTAATCAACTAACAATAGTGAATATTTAATTAACCAACATCTGGAGGGCCACATATTCTCTGTCCTTATATTTGGTGGAAAAAAAGAACTAATATAATATTGCATGTTAACCGCTTGATGGCACCCAAAGCTTAAGAAAAGAAATGGGGAATAAAGAAACTCTTTTATAACTTATGAAAAACCACAGTGAGTATCAGAATTACTTATTGGGCTATATTTATTATTTTAGTTCTTTCTACCGTTCTTGGTTTCAGTAAACTGTTGATGGGTTTCATTCATCGGGGGTTGGGCTGCTGTTTCGGTTCAATTCTCTTGGTGGCACTCTTGCACTGTGCAAGACAGAACATTGGAGGCAGAACTAAAAATAGTGACTTTTGACCCATGGAAGGAAGCAAGTTTCTATTGCCAATAGAAAGAGAAGACGAGAAATGAAAGTTATGAGAAGCTCACTCAAGGGTGGTGCATGAAACTCAGGTTCTTTTCATCACTTCTTCCTTGTAAAGCTTTCAAACCACATGACTTAGAACCCAACTATATTTTATAAGGTCATGTTAGCTATTTGGAAGCATTAGAATAGAATAGAATAGAATAGAATAGAATAGAATAGAATAGAATAGAATAGAATAGAATAGAATAGAATAGAATAAGAAATAAGAAATAAGAAATAAGAAATAAGAAATAAGAAATAAGAAATAAGAATAGAATAGAATAGAATAGAATAGAATAGAATAGAATAGAATAGAATAGAACTGGAAGAGACCTTAGAGGTCTTCTAGTCCAAGCCCCCCACTTAAGCAGCAGAACCTATACCCGAGGTCCCCAACCTTTTGGGCACCAGGGACCAGTTATGTGGAGAGAGGTTTTTTACAGACTGGAAGGGGCATGATTTTGTGTGCTGCCTGCATCCTTTGGATGGGGGCTTTCCTTGTTTGTGCGGACTGGTTGCTGGCATGCTGCGGTCTGGTACTGGTCCACGGATTGGGGGTTGGGGACCCCTGACCTATACCATCTAAGACAAGTGACTGTCTAGCCTCATTATAATCTCCATTGATGGAGCGCCCATGATTTCTGGAGGCAAGCTGTTCCACTGGTTAATTGTCCTCACTGTCAGGAAGTTTCTCCTTAATTCTTGGTTG